AACAAACTGTACGGACGAAGAGCGGCACAAAAGCAAAACCTGACCCCAGCCAATAAACGTGACCGCCTCCGGTTTGCAGAAAACCATATCAATTGGACAGCCGACCAGTGGTCAACTGTCATCTTTTCCGACGAGAAAGTCTTCTGCTCCGAGAGTAGCGGGACCGTTTGGGTGCATCGCCCACCTTCCACACGCTACGATGAGCAATACGTGTAGCGCACCCAACGAAGCGGTCGATTTTCGTTATGTGAGTATTTATAATTTGTGTATTTGGCATTAGTCTTGCAGGCGATTAATTTGTTATTTTAAACCAGAATTTTCATGTGTTATACAGAACAACCTGAATGTAAACTTTTCTGTTTGCAGGTGTCTGGAGTTGGATGTGTGCCGCAAAGCCAGAAGAGTTGGTCATGGTCGACAAAAACTTGAACGCCGAGAAGTATGTGGACATCTTGGAAGACGTGCTGGTGCCGTCAGTAATGGCCGTGTACGGCGAAGAGCCGTTCTGGTTCGTCCATGACCGCTCCCTGGTCCATACAGCCAACATCACAAAGCAGTGGATGGAAACGCATCCTCAGGTGCAGGACATGCGATGGCCTGAGTGAGGGGCTGATCTTAACCCGATCGAGAACATTTGGAGCGAGCTAGTTCGCGAACCTATTCAGGCGTTGACTCCCAGCGACCTTTGGCAAGTCGTCCGAGGTCGTTGGGAGAACCTGCAATCAGGCACAGTTTGTCAAAGTGTTGTGGAAAAAACAAAAAAAAAAAAAACATTTTCCACATCTCCCGTAAGGGGGCCTACACGTTCTTCTTTCCGTATTTATTTACATATCGGCGCCTGACCGAACGAATACATTTATACATATATTTATATATTTTTATTTTTGCATTTATACCTTTTATGCTAGTAAACAATAGAGAGACGAGTCAGTCGTCTCTCTATTGTATATTAACAATTATTATTAGTAGCGATAACTTGTATTAATCGCCGCAAGTGTGATAACGCTTTGATGGATTCTGTAATATTTTATAGAATCCATCCTCGCGGAATTCTGGCCGCCGTTCATACTGGCGCCGACGTATCGGCTGGTTCAAACGCCGACTCTCTCCCGCTGCCACCCTCAGCCTGGCACCCACATGCGGAAACGGTCCACAAAACGGCAAAATGACGTCACTTTTGCCGTCGACTTCGACGGAATACGAAGTTGAAAATTTTCAACATTTGCCGTGACAAAAAGCGGCACGGTATAAAGTAGACCAACAGGAAGGCCATTCGGTGATGTCGTCGGAAAGTTCACGCGGTCACTAGAAGTATGGCGGCCAGCACGAAGAGACAGCGTGTCATGTTCAATGACGAGTATTTCGTTAAAACAGTTCGAAACTATCCATGTCCGTATGACAAAAAATGTTCCGATTTGAAACATATGACATTAAAAACAACAATACCGACTGCAATTGGAGAGCAGTTCGGAATTACCGGCAAGTACTGATTTGTAATTAGAACTATACATGCGAAACTGTAGCACGTTTTATAATTGTTATATTTTAAATTTACTAATGTAATTACTAATGTTATTAAACATACCGAATGTTGTTAGGCGATGATGCCGAAAAAAGCCGAAAAAATTTTACAGATCGATATACAAAGGAGAGAAGGAAAATGCATGAGAGCCACGCGAGTGGCGCAAGCAGTTCCGAAGTATACCTGACAAATTGGACTTCACTTAAGTTGGTTGGTTGGTTTGTTAGAGTTTATTGGCGCAAGGGCCATACAGACCAAGCTGCGCCATAGCAAATGGTATATATTAATAAATAAATATATATATATAAAATGTTCAATATAAATAAATTAATAAACTAATAAATAACAAAATCAATAACAAAACAACATATAACAATATACATATAAATAATAGCAAGATATATACATAGATGAATGAATAAATAAATAAATAATCAACAAGGTATATATATAAACATAACCTAGATAAATAATTAAATATGTCTATAAATATTATTCACTTTCAAAAAGTTCAATAATTTGTCAAGATTTGGCCTCTGGCCCAAAATCTCTCTCAGACTTGCATTTCCAAAATGCTGTCTATGACTTTGATCAAAAGCTGTGCAGTTGCAAAGCATGTGTTTTACACTTAGAAAGCAGTTGCAATGCTCGCATACTGGCTGGTCTTCACCCTTCAAAAGGTATTGATGAGTCAACCGAGTATGCCCAATTCTCAAACGCGTAAGAATTACTTCAGATCTCCTGTCATACTGTTTATTGTGTGTCTCAATTTTCTATATTTGGCTTCATCTCATGTAGTTTATTGTGGACTTGTGCATTCCACATGTTTTGCCATCTCTCTGCTAGTCGTTTTTTAACTACTACCTTCAAATCGACTCCTTCAATATGCATTATATGCTGTGAAGGACTAGCTGACTTTGCAGCGGCGTCAGCTTCTTCATTCCCTTTTATACCTACATGGCCTGGGACCCAACAAAATTTTACAAAGAAATTACTCGCAGTAAGATGGCAAATTAGTTTTCGAATTTTAATCACTATAGAGTGAGAACTAGGTTCACATGAAATCAAAGCCTGAAGTGCACTAACTGAGTCAGTGTAAATAACACAGCAACGATGAACTTTCCTATTTATATACTTTAAAGCTAAATGAATAGAATGCAACTCTGCAGAAAAGATAGAAAAATTCAATGCAATTTGTTCTGCCATGATTTCATCCTGGCAGACAAAGGCTGAGCCAACGTAATCATCAGATTTAGATCCATCTGTAAAAATAGGAATTAAATTCCTGTCACGATGTTGAATTTCTGCATAGTGCTGTCTGTAGACGTAGTCTGGTGTGGATTCCTTAGGAAATTGCTTTAAGCAAAAATCAACACTTATCAAAGGAGTTGACCAAGGTGATATACTACAGACCTCTAGCTGTAAAATGTTGCCTGTGTTCAGATCAATTGTGCTACTCACATTCTCCATTCTTACAACAAATAAAGGGACACTGCTTGGGTGAGCTTCAAATAACCTTTTCAGCTGAGTATCTAACATTGTACAATCAACTGAAGGTTTAGTGTAAGATTTTTGTTTTATATAGTAAAATAGAGACAACTGTTCTCTCCTGAGAGATAGTGGAGGCTCATAAGCATCCACGTACAAGCTATGTACAGAAGTTCGAAAAGCACCAGTGCACAAACGTAGTGCTTGGTGGTGAATTGGATCCAGCATCCGAAGAGTAGATTCTCGCGCAGAGCCATAAACAATGCAACCGTAGTCCAGCTTAGAGCGGACAAGAGCCCTATAAATCCTGAGCATAGAAACTTTGTCTGCTCCCCAGGATGAACAGCATAGTACCTTTAAAAGGTTTAGAGATTTTAAACATCTACTCTTCAGGTTGCGCAAGTGTGGCAAAAATGTCAGTTTTGGGTCAAAATAAACACCCAAAAACTTAGCCTGATTAACCATTAAAATTTTATCGCCATTTAGGTGAATTTCAGGATCCAGGTGCAAATCACGCCTTCGGCAGAAGTGGATGCACGATGTCTTCGCTGCATTAAATGTAAACCCATTGGTCTTGGACCAATTATATATGTGATTTAGGGAGATTTGAAGTTGTCTCTCAATGAAATTCATATTACTAGACTGACAGGAGATCTGAAAGTCATCCACATACAAAGAGTGTTTCACACTGGGAGGGAGACAGTTAGCTATGCTGTTTATTTTAATTAGGAACAGAGTCACACTCAAAATAGAACCTTGAGGAACACCTTCTTCTTGTGTGAAGAGCCTAGATAAAGTGTTGCCCATCCGAACTTGGAATCTTCGATTCTCTAAGAAGTTTTTTATAAACATTGGCAAATTACCCCGCAATCCAAATTGGTGTAGATCACAAAGTATCCTGTATCGCCAACAGCAATCATAGGCCTTCTCTATGTCAAAAAACACAGACACTAAGTGCTGTTGTCGAACAAACGCTTCACGTATAGATGTTTCAAGGTTTACCAGGTTATCAGTGGTAGTTCTGTTCCAATGGAAACCACTCTGATGTGGTGTAAAGTATTCCTTTTTCTCTAAGAGATACATTAGACGCCTGTTTACCATTCTCTCGAAAAGTTTACAGAGACAACTTGTCAGAAAAATTGGTCTGTAATTAGAGGGATTATTGTAATCTTTCCCAGGTTTGGGAATGGGAATAATGATAGATAGCCTCCAAGAGTCAGGAAAAGTATGTTCTGTCCATATTCTGTTAAACAGATTCAGAACATTACGAAGAGAATTGTCCGAAAGATTTTTAATCATGCTGTAGTGGATTTTATCCGGACCTACAGCAGTATTCCCCGAGCGAGAGATTGCTGTATATAGTTCTATGCAGGTAAATGGCACATTATATTCCTCATTAGATGAAGGGTGAAAGTTTAAATATTGTTTTTCACTTTGAGCTTTATAAGCTTGGAAATTCCTAGTTAACATTACATTGCTGGATGAAAAAGAAAACGTTTCACCCAACAAATTGGCAATACCCTGTATATCGCTGATTATTGTGCCATTATATTCCATCATGGACAGAGAGTGGGAAGCATATTTTCCATTAATTTTATGGATTTTATCCCAGACTGCTTTTAAGCTAGTGGAAGATGTTATACTAGAGACATACTTCCTCCAAGAATCCCTTTGGCTTTGCCTTCTAATTCTTCTGGCATTTGCCTTTGCTTTTTTAAAAGCAACCAAATTTCTCGCAGTGGGGTATCTTCTGAAAATACCCCATGCTTTCTTTTGGGCTTTAAATGCTGCCTCACAATTCTGGTTCCACCATGGTTTAGGATGTTTTGGATATCTTGTTAATGTCTTCCCCATTGTTTTCTCAGCTGCCTGAATAATAATGGAAGTGACAACTTCAACTGCGTCATTGATATCAGCAATATTCACAATATCCTCCGTGATGTTCGCCATAAAGGAAAAAAGAGGCTAATCGGCTGTTTCCAATTTCCAGCGTGGTAGACGGGCTGTTTCACAGCTATCTCTGCCTCGATATTTTAGAAAAATTGGGAAGTGGTCACTGGAAAGTGGATTTGATCCAACCTCCCATGTAAACGCTGAAAATAGGTTCAAAGTGGCTAATGAGAGATCAATGGCAGTGAAAGTTCTTGTTGGGGCATGGAAGTATGTCACATCTCCAGTATTAAATAAATACATTTGCTGATTGCCTATGAGTCGTTCAATGGCTCTGCCTCGACGATTAATGTCAGGACTGCCCCACATAGGATTGTGACCATTAAAATCACCAAGTAAAAGGAATGGTGTTGGCAGCTGTTCAACTAATGCATCCAATTCATCCTCATTGACTCTGACATCTGGTGGCAAGTATATAGAGCAAACTGTGACAGTTACTCCAATTGAAATTCTGACTGCCACAGCTTGCAAATCAGTGGTTATTTGTACCGGTGAGGATGGAGTGCGATTTGAAACCAGGATAGCCACACCTCCACTGGCACGGTTGTGGCTATCATCATCCTTGCGGTATAGATCAAATCCTTTTAAAAAAATATTTTCTCCAGGTTTTAAATAAGTTTCCTGGAGTGCCACGCAGAGAGATTGGGTAGATGATGTCAAGTGTTTAATGTCAGAGAAGTTGTTGCGAAAACCACGACAGTTCCATTGGGTTATTTTATAACCCATTATGTGTTTGAGGCAGCATTCTTAGCGAGGTTATCCCTCTTTAATTTAACAGGGGGTTTTTCTTTTGGAGGTGACGTTGGTTTTGTCACCTCCATATTAGGCTCTTCGTCAGATATGTCAGAAAACTCGCTCATAGATTGAGCTTCTGATTTTTTTGAGACTCTAGAAAGGGCTGATTTTACTTTTTGTTTGTTAAGTGGGTTCTTACTGGCTTTTTTAGAACCCATATTTCTGGTTGTTATCCCGGTTTTAGTTACAGAAATTTTGGCCTTTGTGTTCTCCTTTTCTTCTGTTTGTGCAGATGGGATCAATAAACACTTTGCATGGCGGGTAAGAGATTCACTTGGGGAAACAGAAATATCTGTTTGAACCCCACATGTCTTAGTAGATTTCAAAACTGCAGCAAATGTCTTTTGCTGCAATGGTGCACTTGGAGTGACCATGCGACGGGCTTCTGGATAAGATACATTTTTCACAGTTTTCACCCGTTGAATCTCCTTTTCTCTTTGCCATGCAGGGCATTTCCGGGAGTAAGCAGGATGGGCATCTTTACAGTTCACACAGTGTGGAGTACTTTTACATTCAGTACTGTCGTGACCTTCAATTCCACACTGTGCACATAAGCTTTTGCCTCGGCAGGAGGTCTGGGAGTGTCCAAATCGCTGGCATTTGAAACATCGCAGCGGATTTGGAATATAAGGGCGAACTGGGCAGCGCAAGTATCCTGCTGTAACGAAGGATGGCAATGTCGGGTTGTCGAATGTGAGAATTAAATGTTTTGTGGGTATCAACTTGCCGTCTCGACGAATCGAGATGCGTCGGACAG